CTCAGGATTCATAGAACTCGACACATGATCTGATGACGCTTTGATGGTATCTAGATTCAAACCAAGACATACCCTATTAACCCGATGAGAGGCTACCTTCCATTTTCTGTTTTTTCCGCGACCCCACAGTAGTGTCGTAATCAGCCAAGGCCGAGGTGGCAGACGGCAGAGGTCCAACAGCTTTCCTCCTGAGACCATGGAGATACCGAAAACCAGCCCTGGTCGATCCGAACTCACTTACTCGTCAACATCACTGTCACTATCCGAGGACGCACTGTTGTAACCTGCTAGCATGGTGCTGCTGATGATGATGATAATGCACAAAGTGCTGATAAGGTCTATATTAAAAATACATGCCCTGCCCAACTCAGAACCATCGATTCCGCACAACCATATACAAGTACACCAGTGAAAGCATGAGTATAGGACGTAGCCATCGCTACTCCAAAGACGATGATGATGATGACGATCGATGAAACGGAGCGTTCGTCCGTTCCTTCGACTCGACCTCGACATAACTATTTCCAATTCCCTCCAGTATGGCTATCCCATCAGCGATGCCCCGTACCTAGCACAACAACCGAGCCTTACTCCAGACCACGGCAATCCACAGCAGCCTCACAGTGCCCTCCGTTGCCCTCCGCGCTGCATGGGCGAATCGACCTTGGTGAAGTGCCAGACCCGCCTCAACTCGTCGACGTTCTACGTGGGGTATTAAGAACTGATGCATAAGGCGACCCAAAACCTGAACGACCTCAGCGTCAACCTAAGCCGCTGCTGATCCAACTCACAACATCCTGGTAATCGTCCGGACCACCCTCTTCCTCCTCCATCACATTCAGAAGAGGATCAATAATTCTAGCAGCCACTCGAGCTTCCCTAAGAGCATTCAAAGTGTCCACTAATCCTATTGTGTTCCTTATTACTGTAGTGCCGTTTGATTCGAACTCTCACTGACCGCTCCCCCCATAACCTCCCTCACCACCGAATCAGCTTCCCTTTGCACCATAGTCTGCACATCACTTCTACAGCTATCCTCATAGGATCTGATAACATCAAAACTACCAGTACAAAGAGATCGCCAGTGGCCCACCTCAACCGTAGAATAGCTTGACGACGACCTGCCTCCTTACACTCCCGTCTGCGCCTGACCCCTTCAGCGTGTGTCGCCATCTACCACGACTTCACAGGTATCACCAAAGCCGCATAGCCCCTACCTTAGCGATCCTGTTATGATTCACTCGTCGAGATCTTTCCCGGCTCAACTCGTCGAGAACCTTACCAACTGA